TGCAAACTGGTGCCGATACGCCTTAGTACAGGAGTTAGGGTTTTAGGGTTAGTAGGGACAACGGGGATAGACTTCCTACGTAATCCCCCTCTTATTCCCTACTATAACCCCAATATGTAGTAGTTTTAGTCCCTGCGGGGCAGGGTGCAACCAGATCTACACAATCCAAGGAAAATATGTGCGCTGTTAAGCTCAAGACAACTGCTCCAAAAACGACTGGCCTGAGGCTAGGCGTGCTTGAAAAGAGTTTTGCCCGCGGAAGGCAAAGGAATTCAGGGTTCCAAGGGCGTATGGAGTGGAGGCCAATGAACGTCAATGTTACCACCCAGAACCTTGAACGCCAAACCTTTATGCTGAGAGTTGCCATGGGAAGTCCTCCTCTACTCTAAATCCCGACCCACTGGGACTGGAGACTTGACAGCCGTTTTGCAAACCGCTTGGCGGCAAGTTGCGACAACTACTGCCTTTGTTCCGTTCATTGCGCTTGCTACGTCCGCCAACTGCTACAAACTACTGTTCCGATCGCTTGACGATGGCAACCATCAGATAGCCACGAAACATCGAACTGCAGCTACATACGAAAAGATTGTCCAGATGAGAAACATCAGCAAAGGATCTTTCCTGATAGCCATCAAGACATATTGCTGACTAGATGGCTGCGATAAAGCGCATGATTCAGACTTCATTGGAACTCTGCATGTGCAGAGTGATGCCAGTTGCTTCAAACGCTGTTAAACACTACAGATGATGCATCTCATGCAGGAAAACCACAGCCTACAACTAGCAAACTTTGTGAGTAACCAAATCCCCGTCATGCAGGAGTTCACAATCCCGAAATGATAGCTAAACATTCTCAAACGGCCACATCACCCATCTATCAAATCGCAGAAATCCGGAATCTTTACCGAAGAGTCCTGAAGCATGAGAGCAATCCTCTTGGAGACCGTCGGCTATGGTATAAAAGCCAATTATCATTCTCGAGTTCATCACAAGAATCCCCGTCAAATCCTAAAGGAAGCCCTGGAATTCTTCCTATGTATCCCTGGTGTCACTTGGGGCTCCCGTTTCGAGAATATCGCGGGTCTGTCCTGAACACGGCTGCTGCTTCCTCCCAGCTTGCACGCTGCTGATCCTGGGTTTAGGGTTTAGGGTTTAGGGTTTAAGGAACTTAAATTAAGGGATTATCCCCCTATAATGGAGAATCAAATGGAAAAGAAAATGGAAAATGAAATGGAATTTAAGTTCCTTAACAGCAACCCAGGATCTTCCTCATTTTCCACTGCACTGAGAGCCATGGCTCAGATTGATCGGCTTAGGATTTGGGGTATGGGTGTTGGTTTGGGGTGATGTCTTCGATATCTATCAGATTATTATGGCTTATGTTTGACATCTTGTAGGGAAAGGGATGCAAGGGAAATCTTTTCAGCAACACCTCGAAGGATTTACGGCATTCACGGCCAGACATCGTTCAATTGATAGATTGGGGCCCTCATATGAGAGGTGGCAGAAAGAAGGTGTCTCAAACTTGGCATACCTTCGCTTGCAAATAGTGCACCTGGTTAAGGCTTAGGGCTTAGGGCTTGGCATTACTTTTCGAAAATTCCGCTGCGGCATGGAACTTAGAACCCGCTCCTCTGTGCTAGCGCCTTCAGAATTCCCACGAATTCTCACACATAGGGTTCTAGAGGGGTATATAGGGTACACAGGGCTTAGCAAACAAAAACAGGGGATGAGGGGGATATATTTGGAAAATGGAAACTTAGCCAAGGGCAGCTGCAGTCCCGATGCAATTTCCAAAAATAATCGCCGCGAACCCCAAGCCCCAAACCCCGTGCTGGCGTCACAGTTCCAAGCAACTACAGGCCACTGAGGTTCGACTCCTATTATTATAGTAGATCACAAAATTCTATAATACGTTTTAGTAGATTATAATATATTATAGTATTATGTTATAAGGATAATGGAAAAGAAATTATCAACTACTATATTATTTTAAGGTATATATTGGGGTTATATAGGAATAATGGAAAGAAAATGGAAACTACTACATTATAATAGGATATATATAGGGATTGTATGAGCTATAGTCTAAACTCCTGGTAACTCCTCTCATAACCCCCGTAATACTCCCCTGTAAAATACCCCCATTGTAGAGTTTAGAGAAAAGCTTATGTATGGGCGCTAGAACACGAAATTGGAGTTTGTTTCAATTACGAGTCCCTTCTTGGATCTGCTCATAAACCAAACTAATACATTTTAGAGTGGTGTATAAGAAAAGCTTAACTCTGAGAATCACCCCGCTAAGTTGGAGAAAGGTCGAATGACACGCTCATTCTCCAGGCCACCCGCTTTTCTCTACGGTTTATCTTTGACATGCGACAATGCGGCGATGCTGCTTATGAGCAGGGATGCCACGCTGATGCAAGCATTCCTAGGACCTAAGTCACTTTGGTCATTTGCGTGGCAGCTGCAAGGCTTCAACACTCGGCGCAAAAGGGCTGTTTTGAAAATCTTCTGTCTCATCTTGGTGTAAAGCCACTGCAGCCGCCAGGAATTCCTAACCCTGAAGGCCTCTGCCGTTCAGGGCACCTGCGCTTTCACTCGCGTTAGCTCCTGGCCAAAGGTTGCTTGGATGCAAAATTCCACGATTCCATGCTCTTACCCATGACTGCTCGTTGAGTGAGTTAGGGCTTGGGGATTTTTGCACTACGCCGGGCCATTTGCAAAAAGCGACGATACTTCGGAGAGGCGGGCGTGAAGACAGGACAGAAATGGAAATTTCTGCGGATTTGGTAAGGCC